AACCAACCTTCTCTCTCTCTCTCTCTCTCTCTCTCTCTCTCTCCTCTCTCTCTTTCTCTCTCTCTCTCACTCTGTGTGTGTGTGTGTGTGTGTGTGTGTGTGTGTGTGTGTGTGTGTGTGTGTGTGTGTATATATATATATATATATACACACACATATATATTTATATATTTATATGTTTATATATATATATATATATATATATATATATATATATATATATATATATATATATATATATATATATATATATATATATATATATATACATACACATATATATATTTTTATATACATACATATATATATATACAAATATATATATATATAAATATATATACACACACACACACACACACACACATATATATATATATATATATATATATATATATATATATATATATATATATATATATATATATATATATATATATATATATATATATATATATATATATATATGCAGCATGCATATATATAAAACAATAATTGTCCACTTTAAAAAAAAATCAAAATTTAAAGATTGCATCAAAAAATGAGGGTTAACCGTTTAAAATATTTGAAATTTTTTTTAGATTCTTATCAAGTATTGTTTTAGAACTTATTTGTGTATTGGTGAATCAATTGCTTTTCATACCTATTGAATTTTACACAATTGATCTAATGATGCATAAAATTGACTGCAAAAAAAATAATTGTACAGTTTAAAAATAATGTCAAATTGATCAAACTTTATGGAAATTAATATCAAGTGGGGCCTCTTTGGCCTAGGCCTTGATGGTCTCAACTAGACAACTTGGCATTGATTTGACCAAATTTTGAATCTCTTCTGTTTTTATAATATGCCAAATGCTTATTATAGCTTCTTTTAATTCATCTTCGCATCTAGGTGCTCTGTCACCAATTTTTCAGTCCAAAACATATGACAAATCTTCTATAGGATTCAAGTCCAGACTTTGAGATAAAATAGGTTTTTTTTGAACTACTCTTCCTTTATCCCCTTGTTTCTCTTATATTATTTTTAATTGTTTGAGGGGTTACAGTGATATTGTGATCTTCTTAAACTTTTAAAGCTAATTTAGTTGCGGAAACAAATTTTTTTTCTTGACATTAATGATGATATTGCGATCAATTGCACTGGCGGTCTTGCGTTTTTGTCCTCTGCCAGCCACACTAGCAATGATTCCAATCAGATTATGTTTCTTAACAATTGAGGACACTGTCATAAAAGGAATTCCTGTTTCTTTTTGTATCTGACAGTAGGGTTTTCCTTGATTTATCAAATTAACTACAAGGCTTTGTTGATGAAAAAACAAATGTTGTTTTCTTGGCACTATTTTGCTGAAACACTAAATTATATTTCTAGAACGAAAGTGTATTTAAAAAATTACTTTTTTCAATTTTACTAAGTAGTTAGATTGTTCAATTTGCTAAATTTATGCTAAAATAACAACCTATTTTTTCAGAGAACAACTATTTTTTTTGCAGTCAATTTTATATATCATTAGATCAATTGTGTAAAATTCAATAGGTATGAAAAGCAATTAATTTACCAATGGACAAATAAACGGAAAACTCATTTCTTTGATATAATCTTTAAAAGTTATGATTTTTTATTAAGTGTATATTATATATACACTTAATAAAAAATCATATATATAATATATATATATATATATATATATATATATATATAAATATATATATATATATATATATATATATATATATATATATATATATATATATATATATATATATATATATAAAAGATATTCTCTAGTTTTTTCTATCTTTCTAATTTTTTTTTAACTGCAAGTAAAGAAAAAATTATAACTATCTGAATAGAAAATAGAACTTATCTTTTCAATAATAATTAATAGAACTTATCTTTTCAATAATAATTAATTGGCTATATGAGCAACATTTTAAAATGTTAAAAATGCTATAAAGAGGCATTAAAAAATTCACATACTGGTAAAATTGTCATTTGTTGTCACTTCTGTTACATGTGTGTCACGTCTGTTGTTTTCTGTACTCCACACACGTGACATCCACAGACGTAATAAATTGAAGGAATAACCCTAAAAGGATTGCTATGTTTTGAGACTAGGACTCTGTTCCCCTTGGAGTAAATATGCCTAGGTAATTGCTATTAAACAAAATTATTGCTTATAAAAAAGTAAAATTATTTCCCCTGAGTATGTTTGCCACAGATGTGACACACTAAGACTAACAAATTCAAATTAAAACTTTAGCATTAAACAACTACACCAAAATTTCCCCCACTATTACTCATTAATAAAAATGTGTGATAGTTTAGCTAGAACAGCAACATAGAGAACTACTGCTGCATCCTACTGGTTTTTTTTGGAATTAATAACTCTATCCACACACTTAACATTTAAGGTGGTGACAAAAGCTGCAATTACATAAAAGTTACTTTAAAAATATGTTTTGAGGAAATTATGATGTCAACTCTAATTTTTATGTCTTGATTATTTTAATGTATTTTAAACTCTATCCACAGACGTGACATTTAAGGTGGTGACAACAGCTGCAATTACATAAGTTACTTTAAAAATATGTTTTGAGGAAAATATTATGTCAACTCTAATTTTAATGTCTTGATTATTTATTATGTACTAAAACAAAAGTATAGTACTAGCAACAAGGTTTAAATTACTTGGGATTAGCAAAAAGTGGGTGGTGACATTCCATGGAAGTCACTTTTTACAGTATGCCGAACAATATTTATTAACTGAAAACGCTATTTAGGATTGGTTTTTATCAGTTTAACTTTGTATAAGCTGTATTTTTGTTATTTGCACTAGTTTAAAGTAAAAATAGTATTAACTTAAAAAAAAAATTAGTACACACAGTATATTGCTACTTATTTGGAGAATGATCCATATATATATATATATATATATATATATATATATATGTATATGTATATATATACAAATATTCATACATATATATATACATACATTTATATATATATACATATATATATACATATATATATATATATATATATATATATATATATATATATATATATATATATATATATATATATATATACATACATATATATATATATATATATATATATATATATATATATATATATATATATATATATATATTATATATATATATATATATATATATATATATATATATATATACATATAAATATGTATATATATATATATGAAATTTGGGTGAAATTTTTTCAAATAAAAACAAAACAGCCACTTAATCTGATAATACTATAAATACTAGCAAAACTTTTGTAAAGCTGCTTTGTAAATACTTTTGTCTATTGTTTTGAAGGCTTTAATGGAATTTAAAAAGCATAAGTCCTGAAAAGGTGCTTTTACTGCTAAAATGCGTTGGAGCCAGAATTTAATGTAAGATGTCATGATAAACAGACTGGCATCCTATAGAGGTGCTCTATGTAATGATTAGTAATGATATGCCTGTAACAAATAAACAGTTATCATCGTCCATCGACTTAGTACATAGCACATGAAGGTCAAATTTTAAACTTGTTCTCTGTATCTCTACTAAGAAATATTATTGAAAGCTCAATTAATTCATGATAGCCATCTCTAGGTATTTTTTTAGTCAATTCAAATCGGTAGAGTTATAGCAATCTATAATTTTCTAAAACATTTAAATGAGATTCTATACAGAATTGAACGTTTTCTGCATCCACATTTTCCCAGTTTTCACCGAACTTTTTAAACAACCGTATTTCTGGGCTCGCCCGGGTTATTTAGCTGATTTTTGCTTCAAACACACTTTGGCAAAAAAGCATTTCTTTATCCATTTTTTATTAAAAAAGCACACATGCACCATTACCTGTATTTCATATAGAGAATTTGCACTCTGTCCTAAAGATTCTAGTTGATAATGTGCCTGTTTTCTTCCTGATGAGCTATCTAATTTTGGCACAGCAATAAGTTTTTTGTTATCATCATATGAAATAACAATAGGCATTCTCCTTTAGATTTACGTTAATCTAGAGCTAGCAATAGTTTGCCATCCCAGTGGACAGTTAACGTATCCTGGATAATGTTTTAAAAATAACTTTTATAGCTTCAGCCAGCCTTCTTTGCATTTCTTTAATAATTCTATGGATTGAGAACTTGCTTACAGAAAATTCATCAATGTTATGCCCTATTGCATCAATAGTAGCTTCAATTATTAATACAGAATCTCTTACACTTAACAGATATCTATTTAATGTGGTAACAAACTTCAAATATTTTGCATACAAGTTTTATCAGGCTGAGAGAAAGCACCACTTAGACTAGGTCTACTTTAATATCGATGGATTTAGTGAATTATAGTATTTAGCACACCACTTTTCCTCCTCAATGTTTCTAAGTAACGTCATTTCTTTTTTTTCAGTAGGTTTTATGTCCACTCCAGAAAAGTGACTAGGCCAACCTGATTCTTTTTCGCACTCCAAGAAGATCTTTTCTTTTCTTTTTTTAATAAACTGAAGCGCATTGGGATAAGCTTCAGTTTATTAAAAAAAGCATATATCGACTAAATCATTACCTAACTGTGTTACGAAACTAGTTTCATTATACCAAGTTTGTAGAGATTTGTAACAAAAATACAAAAAGTGTTTGAACAAGCAAATTGTCTAAAATTTAGACAATTTGCTTGACATTCAAGCAAATTGTCTAAATTTTAGACAATTTGCTTGTTACAAATCTCTACAAACTTGGTATAATGAAACTAGTTTCGTAACACAGTTAGGTAATGATTTAGTCGATATATGTGTCTTTTACAGCAAATAATACACTCATGAATTGTAAGATTTGCACTTTAATTGACACTTAAATTCACCTTTCAAATATTATAGAACAAAATTCCCAGTACTTGTCCATTAAAGAAAAGCTTTGAACTAATGATTTGATGTTTTACAACTCCTATTAAAAATAACTGACAAAAAATAAAAATAACCGCTGACATATTGACTACCTAAAACTAATGCAAGATTTCTATTGAGCTGTACTGTGCAAGTACAAACACTTTTTGCTGCAAGTTGGCACAGGTTGTTGTGATCTTAAGTACATAAAACTTTATTTTTAAATGTTTTGAGACTATTCAAATAAAATAAGAAGGTATGGATAAAAAAAATATAACTTAAATTTTATTGGAACACCAAAATATATATTCATATATATATATATATATATATATATATATATATATATATATATATATATATATATATATATAAATATATAGTTCTAATAAAATTTAAGTTATATTTTTTTTTATCCATTTATTTTTATTTTTTTTATCCATTTATATATATATATATATATATATATATATATATATATATATATATATATATATATATATATATATATATATATATATATATATATATATATATATATATATACATATATATATATACATATATATATATACATATATATATATATATATATATATATCTATATATATATATGTATATATATATATATATATATACATATATATAAATATATATATATATATATATATATATATATATATACATATACATATATATATATATATATATATATATATATATATATATATATATATATATATATATATATATATATATATAAATTTTAATAATAAAATGGCATTTCACAACAAAGCAGTAAGAACCTTTACTAAAGTTCAAACTCTTAACCCAAAAACTCATGCATAGAGTTTAAATAAAATAGGTTTACTAGCTATGGAACAAAAAACAATCCATAAATTTAAAATTAAGTTGACAATATATAAAAAGAATCTTTGAACAGGTAAAAACTTTCTTCTGTCTGTGTCATACCATATCTGTAACAACTTAACATTTTTATTTTTTTTAAGTTACAGTGTACATTTCTAAATTGAAATATTTTTGTATAATCGCAGTAAACATACTTTAGCTTTAAATCAGTTTTTATTCTTGGTCTAGTATCTAGAAGGTCTGGTATCTAGAAGCTCCATAAATATTAAAAGACTTATAGACTGCATTGCGAAAAAAATCATGAGATTTTAAGGAACTTATTATATAAGGAATTTATTCCAGAATGACTACAAACTTAAATTTATTTTACCCTAAATTATCCATAATAAAATATTTCATTCCATGCAAAAAAAAAATTAATAAATAAAACTGTTTTAAACAAAAGCATTAAAAATATATTTTTCAAACAAAAAATAGTTTAACTTAAACTTCGAAAAATATACCTAAAACTAATATTTCCTTTCAAAGAACTAGGGTTATTTAGTGCATATACCATTGCACAAATATATGAAGACAGCTCAACTAACTTTCGCAATTGAAAATAATTATGAACTTCATTTAGAAGTTTAACCACCTAAAAAATACATTTAATTCTTTTTAATAAATTTTTCCTTTTTTATTAAATTATTCTGTTTTTTTTTTACTGAAATTTTTTTGTCTGCTTAATTTTATTTTTATGCACATTTTCATTTCTTCATGAGATTAAAAAAGAAAAAAAAAATTAGAACCAAAATCAAAATTTACCTCAATTGATAAACTTGTTGTACTCAATATCAGAACTATGTATCTCTTAAATGAAATTAAAAAATTGACTTTCTGATTAAACGCTTTTTTGAGTGGTTGGCAATAACAGCTAGTTACATTTGTATCCTTTTGAATACACACATTGCCATGAACGTTATTGTGAATAGATAAGATATAACTGGATACAAAAGTGAGGAATAGCAAATATAACAACAGTTTGGAATAGTATACATATCTGCCGCACAATCTCCACTTCCGTCTTATAAAATGAGTAACTAATGGATGGTACAAAAGCCTAGTATGATGACTTTTAACCTAATGTATTTAAAATTAATTTTGTTAAAAGTAGCTTGGATAAGTAAGGTAAGTATTTGAAATCATTAATATTTACTATTTATTTGTTATATACCCATAGTTATAAAGCAAAATAGCATATGTCCTATATAGACTAGTTGGACAGCATACAGCATTTTGCCTCATGTTAGATAATTTAATAACAAGTTAGTATGCGAAAAAAGACCACATTTGGTAAAAATGTAAATATGCTATTTTGCCTTTTTTAACCATTGATATAGAAATATAAATCAAGGTAAGAATTTGTTGTTTTTTTTTAATTTTTTTATTGCAAAAAATAAATAAAGTTAAAAAATTTAAGGGCTTTAGTTTTTTTTTTCTTAATAATTGATATTTATCGTATTTTAAACACTGAAATAACTTAAGAGTTTATTTTTAAGTAATATTTATCATAAACCTTGTTTTCATTCTTCTACTTTGCACACTATTTTATAAGTTTTGTCAAAAAAGTTTCAAATGTTCATCAAATAATTTTAACAATACTTCTTTAATTATTTCAAGTCAGGCTAAAAAATTAAAAAAAAAAATTTTAGTAACAAGTAACAATGTAGAGAACACAATACAAGAGAATTTTTTTTTTATAATATACATTTTTTTTTAAATATAAGAATTATCTTTAAATATTTCCTTAATCCGTATATTTTTAAATTAAGAAAAATATATCATTTTATGAAAAAATTAGCAAAATAAAAACTTTTATTTTATAGATGAAACCACACATATTTAAAAATTTGTTTTTATGTTTTATTTATACTTTTCAAAGTTTTTTTCTTATTTGGCTATCTTTTTTTGTTTGTTTTTTAATATTTTATTTCTGTAATATAAATTTTATTTGTTAACATTAAGTCTCAAAGATTAGAAAATAATAATGGTTAGTCATGTAAATGGTTAGTCATGTAAATGGTTAGTCATGTAAATGATTAATCATATAAATGGTTAGTCATGTAAATGGTTAGTCATGTAAATGGTTAATCATGTAAATGGTTAGTCATGTAAATGGTTAGTCATGTAAATGGTTAGTCATGTAAATGGTTAGTCATGTAAATGGTTAGTCATGTAAATGGTTAGTCATGTAAATGATTAATCATATAAATGGTTAGTCATGTAAATGGTTAGTCATGTAAATGGTTAGTCATGTAAATGGTTAGTCATGTAAATGGTTAGTCATGTAAATGGTTAGTCAGTAAATGGTTAGTCATGTAAATGGTTAGTCATGTAAATGGTTAGTCATGTAAATGGTTAGTAATGTAAATGGTTAGTCATGTAAATGGCTAGTCATGTTATAAATAATATTCTATAAATATTTTAAAGTATTTTATTCAAAAAAAAAAAACTTTTTGAGAACTGTTCTAAAACAAAACCATTTTATTTTTTAAATGTACCAGATTAAAATAAATTAAAAAGTAGTAAAAAACTTGTAAAAAAACTTTTTATAAACAGTAAATTTAATTCAAACAATTATTATAATTATATATTACACTAATAGCTGAAAAATGAAACTATTTTAAAATAATTTAAAAGTATTGTTATAGGTGTTGCATTAATTAATTATGTTAATTAATTATGCAGATTTCAAAGCAAACTACTTTTCTTAATTAATTATGTTAATTAATTATGCAGATTTAAAATCAAACTACTTTGTTTAATTAATTATGTTAATTATGCAGATTTAAAATCGAACTACTTTGTTTAATTAATTATGTTAATTAATTATGCAAATTTCAAAGCAAACTACATTATTTAAGTATTAGGTAGTTATTACAATATTTTATTTTAGTTATAAGGTTCAAAACTTAATAAAAGGTGTTATTAGTGATAAAGTCTATGACTTTATTACAAATAATGCCTATCACTGAGGAGATAGAAAGAAAAAATGAATAATATTGTTTCTTGTTATACAATTTTAAAATTAAAGTTAAACCAAATATGACAAAATCAGCATTAAAAAACAACAACAACCAGTTAGCCATTTTACCAATCAAAAAAAAAATGTGTTATTAACTCTCTAGCTTAACTCTTTTAAGTAATTAAATTAATTAATTTTTGAAAACTAATAACCTGTTAAATTATTTAATTTTTTACTTGAAAAATAACATCTTATGACATACCATAACATCTAATGAATGATTGACTTCAGTTGTATACAACTTAAAACTGAAAACTCTTTTTAATTTTTCAGTAAAGATTAATTTATTTGCATTTAAACCATAAGAATTATAGTACTGATTTTTTTTTTCTATACACTTAAATAAATTTGGACCCCATGAAGTGAACAAATCCTCAAGAAATTCATAGCAGCAAGTTTGTTTGTAATAAGGATGTTCAATTGGCAAACCATTACCAGTAATGCATTGGTTAAATACTTGCTCAGCAATATCTTAAAATATTTAAAATGAAAGTTAAAAAAAAAGTTTGCTAATTATAACCAAAATATCAGATCAAAATCATAAAATAATGTTAATTTGAAAAAAACTATAATATATAAATAAACTTACCTGGTTGTTTTTTTATTAATTTTCGCAAAGGGGTAGTGATTTTTCTACCATCAAAGGTTGAATTGCGTAATGCAACTTTCCAATTTTCATTTGCAATAATTGCAGTTACTACTTTTCTAAATAATTTATATAATATAAATATACATACATACATACATACATACATACATACATACATACATATATATATATATATATATATATATATATATATATATATATATATATATATATATATATATATATATATATATATATATATATATATATATATATATATATATATATATATATACAGTGACGCTCAAAAGTCAGTTGACATTTAAAAAAAGTTAATATTTAGGCATTATTTTATGAATGAGAAGATATTTATGGGTCGAAAGTATTTAGTTTAATAGAAAACAAAAAGAATGTTTGAAATAAAAATAGAACAGCAGTCGATTAATGTTAGAACTATAAAAAATTAGGTAAAATGCAAAAAGGTGCTGCTCAAAAGTTTGTTGGCAGCAACAAGAACACAAGTTTAAACAAAATAGTTTTGTTATTTTGGTGCAAACGCAATCCATTAAATATTTTGTTGGTCTGTCTTTAGCATTGATAACTGCTTGCAAGTGTTTATTGAAAGTACTAATTTCTGAATGAAATTAATGTCAATTTCTTCCCAATGACGTTTGATTGTTGTAAACATATCATTTTTTGACTTTCTTTCATTTTTAAGAAATAGTTCTATCCAAGTATTCCCATATATTTTCGATTATATTTAAATCTGGCGATTGAGCAGGCCAATCCAACTTGAAAATTTCATGATCAGCAAACCAATCTTTGACAATCTTTGCTGTATGTTTTGGATCACTATCCTCCTGCCAGATAAAATTGGCATCCTGTCAGCCAGGTTTCCCTGTCTGACAGGATGCCAGTTGTTTGGTATTTGGCACAAATGTTTCTTGAATGTTTTAAACTATAGATTTTCTAATTGTTTTATGAGCTCTGTATACTGAGTTTGCAGATAGAGTCATATCTTTTATGCCAATCCCAATAGCTTTGAGGATTGACACAACAATCCCAATAGCTTTAAGGACTGGCACAACAATCCCAATAGCTTTGAGGACTGGCACAACAATCCCAATAGCTTTGAGGACTGGCACAACAATCCCAATAGCTTTGAGGACTGGCACAACAATCCCAATAGCTTTGAGGACTGGCACAACAATCCCAATAGCTTTGAGGACTGGCACAACAATCCCAATAGCTTTGAGGACTGGCACAACAATCTAGCTGACCCTTTTTTTCAGTAAAATTTTAACAATATCTTTGATTTGTTTTAATTTAATTAACATAAAATTGGTTCACAAATGAATTATTTCTGAATTAAAAAAAAAAAATTATAAAATATATTGATAAAAACCAAAAATTTAAATTATTTAAAATATTTTAAAAGGTGATTTTAAAACTTTAATTTTAGTAATAATAATAAACAAACATTTAATTTTTAAATTAGTTTAAATTTTTTAAATGATTAACCTAATTATTTTTAAAAATAAGTTTACTAATGATCAAAAATATTTTTATAAAAAGTAAATAGTAAGATAAATACAAAAAAACCTTCTTTTATTATCAATTGCATAATCTAAGCAGTTTCTTCCTAAGTGATCCTTCCATGAAATATCTGCATTTTTAGATAACAGCAAGTTTACCATGGCAACATGTCCTTCTTTACAGGCAAGCTGTAGTGAACTTACCTTAAAACAAACATTAAAAATGTATATAACAATTTATATTCCAGTGAATCTTTTTATTTGCTATACTTACTTTATTTTTTTCTTTAGGATTTACAAGACTGTCACTATTTAACAAATATTCTGCACATTTAGTTTGACCATAGAATGCTGCAAAATCTAATGGTGTCCACAGACCTTCATTTCTAAAGCAAAAACCATAAAGTTTGAACTATTTTATACATTTCTTAAAAATTTGGCAACTATGTTAATGTAGTGTAATATTAGTAGTATTTACTAATGAAATTGAAGATAGGTAATAACCATAATAATTGCCATCATCATCATCATCATCATCATCATCATCATCATCATCATCATCATCATCATCATCATCATCATCATCATCATCATCATCATCATCATCATCATCATCATCATCATTATCATCATCATCATCATCATCATCATCATCATCATCATCATCATCATCATCATCATCATCATCATCATCATCATCATCATCATTATCAACAACAATATCATCATCATCATCATCATCATCATCATCATAAAAAAATTAAAAGACATAAATCCCATACCGTGCTTCAACATCAGCACCGGATTTAATGAGTATCTCAACAACTTTAACATGTCCTTGCATTGAGGCAAGGTGTAAAGGTGTATTTGAAAAAATATCTTCATCATTCACAATGCTTAAAACTTTGAAAGACAGTAATATTTCGACAGTTCTAAAACATAAATACAAAATAGCAATTAATACAAAAAATGATTTCAATAATAAGGTACACCATTTCAAATTGAAACTTTAAAAAGTAACCTTAAATGACCATATTTTGCTGCAAAATGAAGTGGAGTCAAATTTTCCTGATTTTTTGCATCAATACAAGCTCCCAAGTCCAGTAGAACCTATTCAAACAAATTCAAAAGCAATAAACTATATTATAGTTTCAATAAATTTAAACGCAATAAACATTTATGGTAAAAGGTATTAAATTTTCCACATTTATCAATTTAAGTTGTACAGGCAAAAATGGATCAAGTGCTGAAGACCATAAATGTAAAAACAAAGAAAACATAACCTATTAAATGAAGCTTTTGATATCACAAAATAAAGATGATGAATGGTTCAGCAGTGAGGGAAAATGATTTTATTATCTTCAGATTAAAAGAAAATAGCAGTTCAAGTATACAAATGGGAAGGCTGCTAGTTCAAAAACTATCCATCTATCCAAAGAAAGGAAAATATTACAAAAACATTTTACTGAAAATAAACTAGAAGAACAACAACTCATTGGTTATCAAAATCATAACTGTTTTTGAATGAGTCCTTTGCATAGTAATTGATGTAGAACTTAGAGAAAAAAAATGTCACCCAAATTAGAATATATCTGTTTATCTCAGAACATGTAAAGTACTAGGAACAGCTCAGAAAGAATTTCAAGAGTCGTAAAAAAATGATTTCTGAAAATCATAATGGTGCGATGATATGAAATTTTATTTAACTCAGGTATTCTGCTTTTTTGAAGAATTTTGAGTATTTCCGAAAGTGAAGTTTTAGAAAATAGCTAAATTAAATAGTGATAGAAATCCTGAGTAATTTATGCCTCTTTTGTCATTTGTTCTTCTACCAGAGAGCAGAGACTCACTACTCAACATTTGTAGTTTTATTTCTTACAGATGGGCAAACCATTGGTTTATACTGACCATATTTACAATGCAGATGATTATCACAGTTACAAAAAAATTTTAAACTCATTGAAAAAGTTTTTTAAATCAGGAACCATCGAGAATGGAAATTCTCAGAACAAATCAGTGTGTAGAACAAGCAATCAAGTATCTTTAAGATCTTTTTGAAACCTATAAAAAAAAGAGAACCTTTAACTTTGGTTTATTTTGTCTAACAAAGTGTAAGAATTGCACATTACGCTTCACTCAAGCTGAATACTAACGGGTGGTTACTAAAAGTCCTAACTTACTTTTAAGAGAAATTACTCCCATAGTCCCAAGGTAGGGATCAAATAAAAATATCATTAAATAGAGTTTTTGTTTATTTATTTATTTTAATTAAATTTCTCTTCAACCAGTCTGATTCTTTGGATTCCACCAACTCAAAGCTGAGTTGACTCAAAAAGTAAAAATATAAGGTTAAGGTCAACTTTTTTCAGACAAAGCTTTATCCTGGTTTGTTGTTATGGCACCTCTTTTGCTTGCAAACTATCCTCATACACTTTGCCTTTCAAAATAGCCCAAAAGTCTTTGATTGGGCAACACTCCGGTATGTCTGGCAGATTGTCAACTTTTTTAACAAAGTTGATGTTTTGAGTCTCATAGCAGTTGGTCACAGTTTTGGCATAATGTATTAAAGCCAGGTCCAGCCAAAATACATAATTATCATCAGCAATTTTACTTTAATACAATTCAGTTTGTTGATGGTTTTATTGACTGCAAGCCCGCTAGGGACATAAAATGGTTCGAAATACCTTTGTCAGAAGTGACCAGCAAGGTGAGCAGCTCGGGTTGAAAGTTGCGCTTTTTTCAAAATTTAACACTCGGCGGAGTCTCTGTCACTAGAGTAGTAGGTGCAGTTTCAAGTTATTGTTGAGTGCAACAATGTGAAGTTAGACTTGTTGTCAAGGATGACAGATTTTTTTTGAAAATAAGGAAAAAGACAATCAATACCAATCTTGATTTGCTCATTCTGGCTCATTCTTGTCAGAATGTAATTACCTAATACCTAATAATTCGCTCATTCTTGTCAGAATGAGCGAATTATTATACAAAACAGGTATACCCTGTTTTGTATAAGTTTTGATGTCAGTGTATTTGACAAGGGTTTTAATGATATGTAGATGACTGCCAAATTTTCAAATTTGGCAGTCATTTTCAAATTTGTCAGAATGACAAATCCAAATTTTCAAACGGTATATATATATATATATATATATATATATATATATATATATATATATATATATATATATATATATATATATATATATATATATATATATATATATATATATATATATATATAACATATCTTTTCTTGTTAGTTCATTGTAAAATTCATCCATTGCTGTAAAATTCCTTTAAACATTGCCCATAGCTTGATCAGCTAGGGTTAAGTCTATTAGCACAGATTCATTTAAAAAGAATCAAAAATCATCTTTAGCATTCTTCATCAAAAAGAATGCTAAAGAATCAAAGTAAATCTTTGATTTGTCAAGCAACCTTATGATAACCTTTGTCAAAAGTAATGAAAAATGTCTAGTAGCCTTGTATCTTAGTGAAGTACGCTCTTTAATTTTTTTCTACAGCAAACCAAAAAACGTTCAAGTATTATTAGTACAGAATTAGTTGAAAGTCATTCAAATGGTATAATGTGAGCTAGACATGGATTCTAGTAGCCATATAACATATATATTAAAAACAAAAAATTTCATTTTGGAATTTAATTTTTTGACTACTAACAATTTTACATTTCTGTAACGCAAAAACAGTTTCAACACCAATCACAGCATCACTCCTGTCGCATTTTTTCATAGATCTTCACCATACCACAAATATATCTTATTACAGATTTTCCAGTTGCATATTTCATTCTGCAATTCTATCTTCCATAACTTATGTAATGAAAACAAGGAAATTTAGAAAATCAAATCAATCTTAAAATAGCATAATCTCATGCTCCACTTAACATTCTTTGCTAAAATTTTGGATGCAACTTGTTTTTTATTTTAATAGGAATCATGTGTCAAAATATAAAACAAAAATAAAGATGCATGGTTTAATAGAATTTTGGTGATTTGATGTTTTATATAAAAATTTTTTGGTGATTTTGGTGATTAAATTATTTAATAGCTTTTAATTATTATAATTAATAGCTAATTAATTATTTAACAATTCAAGAAATTATTTACAAACTTATGCATGAATACATTCATACATGAATTTATATAATATTGAATTATTCATATAGAATTAAGCTTACTAATAACTAAACATCACAAATAACATTTTCTACATTTTCTTTTTATACTTAATTTAAACAAGCTCAGTTGCTTGTTCAATATTTGATGCTTTCTTAACCCTACGGTGATTGACCTTAGTAAACATAAAAAAATTTTAAATCTGGTCAATAACTATTCTGTGATGAAAATTATAAAACTAAAACATACTTTATATACTACATTTTGAACTAATAATATTTAATTGTTTGAAAAAATATTACTCTATTTTTACATATTATAAATAACTGAAGCTAAATTAAACAAGAAAGCTTAATTTATATTTTGCATACTATTGGATATTTTTAAAGGAAAAATTGTTAATTCTAGACTAGGGATTGTAGCCCTATCATTATTGGTAGTATATTTTTAATCCCAGGATTTTGAGATTACATTTACCGAGTCCTGGGATCCCAAGATGGAACCAAGGATTTTCAAATACCTGTTCTTTAAAAATATTAACATAATATTTTAGTATAATTTTAATAATATTAATAACATTTCTATGTAAGTAATAAAAAAACTATTGGTTAAATTTTAAAAATATTCATTAATTTATTAAGAATTAATTTCAAAATTTATTTTTGTAATACTATACAATATTATAATTTTTCATAATTTTATTATAATATTTTATAATATTATATAATATACCAAATTACTAAATTAGTTCATTTTTTAATATAACATATGTAACTAGTTTTTTAATATAAATATCTAGGGGAACCTGTTGAACCTTAGCACTATGTGTATCTAGGCCATTAGGCTCGTTTGAAATATTTGTGCGATATTAAATTTTACTGTCTATAGTATTTGGTACACTACCGACTATTCAATGTGAAGTTAATCACATATTGTTATTAAGCCTGTGTTTGCTGTTATCAACATTAAAACCTTTTTTTAGCAAAAATGTAAGTACTTCTAATGGGTACTTTTATTTAACATTTGTCCAAACAATAAAAAATTTACAGGAAAAATAACCTCAAAACTATTTAAAATCCATCATTTTGTTGAAGTTGGAGTAGTGCTGTTCCTAGGTCACTGTCGATCAGTTGGTCTTTGGTCAGTGGTCAAGGTACAACCTGGATGTTGTACTTTAGATTATCAGAATCTTTTATTAAATTATCTCACACTTATCTATATATAATAATACTGAACAATTTATTATTAGTCTTATTTGTGTCCCTTTGTGTGTTTTTTTACACAAACATTTCTAGAAAAATCTAAAGTGAGAAAATATAACTGAAGAGAAATTAGATAATAGAAATAGAATTTAAAAAAATATTTTTTTAGACTTTTTTTTATATTTACTAACCTGTGTGTATTTTACATGCTATAACTAGAAATTGTTTAAAAAGAATGTTTTGTTTTTTACTTTGCATTTTGTAACTTTATTGTAATTTGCTACAATTTAGAGTGTTGTTTGATCTAGTCTATATCTCTGTTTGAAAAATTTCTAATTATATAATGTAAAATACAAACAAGTTAGTACATACTTAAGTTGGGTCAATAACTAATGCTTGATAGTTGATAGAACTTTAATGATTTTATGATAACTGGAGCTCCTTAAAGCAGTATTGGAGATGCCAATCCATCCTGTTTGTCAAATGAGTCCATGTTTGTGAAATTCCTCCAGCATTTTATCAAATATGCAAAGCCTACCTAAGAAAAACCTGTCATTCTCATAATAGACAATCATGAAAGTCATATTTCAGTACCCACAATACATATAATAGCCAAAGATAATGGTGTAAAGCTTATTACTCTACATCCACATACTAATTATCATATGAAACAATTAGACAAGTCAGTTTTTGGGCTTTTCAAGACTTATTTTATTACAGCGGCTTAAAAGTTACTAATGTCTCCAGGTTGTGTGGGAAAATCATTAACTATATATAATGCTGGCTTAATGGCAAATGCTTTTCCTCTTGCCTTCACTCAAAACAATATTTTAAAAGGTTTTAGTTCAACTGGTTTTCATCCTTTGAATGAAAACAGATGCTAATTTTATGCCTGCATCATATTTGGATCGTCCACTTATTGAAAAATCACCCATCAGAATTGATCAGGTGTCTGTTAGTCAGCCAACTGCATTAGGTTTCAAAGTTATACATGGAAAATTGCCAACTTTGATATCACCAGGTATAATATACCCTCACTGAAAACCCGAAATTCGTAAATAAAAATTATTAAAAAAATATTGGAACTAAATTATATTACATTGTTCTATACTACTGTATTATATATTAACTTTATAAAGTGATATTAAATTGCATTTTTCATTTATTTAGTTTATTTATTATTTTTTATTTTATTGGTAAACAATGAAGCATAAGAAATTTTATAATCACTTGCTTGAACAATACTGTCATGACCTTCTTTTGAAGCTATATGTAGTGGAGTCATTTCATTCTTGTTAAACATATTTAGTATGCAAGTTAAATCTTTTTGACATAAAATCTAAATAAAATGTTGATAAACTATTTTGTGCAAGTAAAAAAATACAACAAATAAATAATTACTCAAATATAAGAGTTTTGACCTTAATATACAAAAATTTATTTCTGTTTAATAACACAACATACTTTTATTACGTCTTTAGAATTTTCTTCAGCGGCAATAAACAAGCAAGTTTTATCATTCGCATCCTTCACTGTAATATCAGAGTGATAATCTAAGAGCATTTGAACTGACTCTGAATTGTTTTTACGAACAGCCATAAGTAATGGTGTTTCATTATCTTTGTCACGACAATCAATATAAGCTCCTCTAAAAATTTTAAAATTATTAATTTAAAAATAACAAAACTTTCAAGTACAAACTATTAAAGTAGTTAGTTTATTAAAAACTTTCTTAAATATAAATATACAATTTAATTCCCATTTTAATATTGAATATAATTTATATACATAATTGCATTACTTTTAATTTTACTGTTTTATTTTTGCATCTTGTATTTTTTTTTTTAATATTAAAAAATATTTCTACCTAAGAAAAAACCGTTTTTCTATAACTAGACTAGTCAACAAAAAGTGATAACTGTATTAGTTAAATCTTACTAATTTTTGAATTTTAGGAAAACATTTGACAAAAAAAAAGTCTAGTTTCTATCATAAACAACAGGTGGAAATATTGTGCTTTAACGTATTAAAAGAGAAAACAATAAAATGCAGATGTTAACATCATTAAAAGTGTATATTAAGTAACCATACCATCAGCTGTATACTAAGAGTTTGATATAATAATACAGGGTTAATGGCAGTTTTAAAAATCCATTTTCCCTGAGTTTTCCTTGAGTATTACCTGATTTTTTCCTGAGTTCGGGTAGTGAAAAGTAAATAATTTTTTTTTTTTTTAATGTTGAAGAATATTATATTTTTGCAACTAAATCCATGTTCCCCTAACATTTTTAACATAATTTTTAAAGAAATTAGATACTTCTAATTAATTGATAGCAAAAGAAGATTTTTAAATAATAAAATGTAGTTTAATAAGGAAACAAAGCCATAAAAGTCCAATATATATATATATATATATATATATATATATATATATATATATATATATATATATATATATATATATATATATATATATATATATAAAATATATATTTAGAAAAATAAAAATTTGTATCTACCATATAATCTTTCTATGCAATTTATTTATAATTAAACCTTATTCCTTTTTTTTTATAGAAAAATAAAATAAAGAAGTTTTTAAAAAGACAATTTTAACAAAGTAATGTGTTTTAACAAAATATAAACTTTATATGAGAACTATTCTATATAAAATTATTTTAGCAACTTTCTCTTTTGCCAGAAGATACCAAGTGCTATCTCAAATTTCTTAATTACTTTGTTTTTCTCATTTGCTTTTCATTTCATAGCATTAGCTTTAGAAATTAACTCTAGATCTTGTTTCTCCTTGGTTTCCTCAACAAATTTTAAAAAACTGAACATTTCACTGGTTTTCTTCAGTTGATCTCGTCTTGTTTCAATCTTTTATTTTATCACTACAAATTTTCCTTGCTAATTGCTTCTCTTTTATAAGTGTCTGTTATTGAACTTAGGTATATCTTCCATGGTCTGATTTTACATTGATTATCATTTTGTTTGTTATTTCATTATTATGTGGATGAACGCCTTGCAGTTATTGATTTTTCATTCAAATTTTGTTTGAGTATTGCAGCCTTTATACTAAACCTCGCTCAACTGAATCTCGTCCATGACTCAGTGTCAAAATTATTTTGATAGCTGATACTAACTCTTTATATATATTTAGGTCTTTTTTAAAATAGAAGTCGCCTAACTACTTCTATCACTATTGAATTCATGAAAATTGTTTTGATAATCCCTTGATTCTCTAAAGAAATTTGTAAATTGATTTATAGATTTATCACAAAAGACTGCTGAAAGATACTTTAAGCTAACCAAGTGATTCAATAAAGGTGTGTACTTCTTAGCATTTTCTGGAGTTATTGTTATCAATTCATAAAGGTTAAAAACCTGAGAATTGCGTACAATGATAGACCCTAATCAGGGTGTAAACTAGCCCTGTGGGGTCCAGTCAAACGCCGTATTCCCAAATGCTCATAAAATTAAAGATCCCAATTTAAAGTTAAAAAAATCCAATTCTCCAAATAATCAAATCAAATATATTCTGAAACAAGTTGTTTAACACTTTAAGGATATTTACAATAGTACGAGTAGTAATATAAAGCAAATACCTAATACAAAATATCAATATAGACATTTAGAAATATATTATTAGTAATAATACTATTATATTAATAGTGCAAATACTACTAACAATTAAAACAACAATAAACATTAAGTCAATATATATATATAGCAATAATAAGTAATACTGATAGTAAAATAGAAAGTAAAATAAAAATAACAAAAAAATCAATATTACATCTGAAAACAAAATAATAATGATAAGAATAATAATCATAATCATAAAATTCAATCATAATAAAAAATCTTTAAAAGACGTCTTTTGAACGTTCAAAAGACATCCAAAATGTGTGTAAGACGTTTAAAAGACGTCTTTTTTACGTCTGTGTTTACTGGGTTGCAGAATTGTATTTGGAGCAGCAAAAAATGTGCCTTGCAAGCCACTTCTAAGTAATCTTGGAGCATTAAACGTGTTTAAAATTAATATATATTTAGTCTTACAACTCATGATTAAAATAAAGCATGAGCTATCTCCAACTATATTTGATTAATATTTTAGTGAAATAAGCCACAAATACCCCACCAGATAATCCAAATTCAATTTTGTAACTCCAAAATATAATCTAAAGTTATGTTTTTATTCTATTCAGTATCATGGACCTTTTTTATGTAAAAGCTTTAAATAGATTGTTCATAAAACAGAACAAACATTTCCGCAATTCAAAGCTATTTTAAAATATTATATCTTATATTATAATTTAATATAAATATTATAACTTTAAATATTATAATTATTGAATATATGTATATATATATATATATATATATATATATATATATATATATTTATGTATATATATATATATATATATATATATATATATATATATATATATATATATATATATATATATATATATATATATATATATATGTATATATATACATATATTAATTTACTTTAAATATGCAGTATCTATTTGTAAATTATTATACATTTACTTTGTTTTTGAAACTTTTATATATTTTATGTTGCTGTGAATGGTATTTTATTCATTTTGTTCTGAAAACGACAATACGAAATAATATGTTTATATGTATAGGTATGTGTGTATGTGTTAGTATGTATGTTTGTATATGTATATACACGTATATATTTGTACATTTTATTTCTTTCTTAACTAACTTTACTTTTAATTTTTTTTGTACCATTTTGTTTCTTAACTTCTTATAATATATATATATACATACATGGTAATATTTTACGGACTTCTTAAATGCGTTTGTAATGGGGCTCAGTGATATGGCTTATATTAAAGAAGACTACAATGAAGTGAAAACTGCACTGATTACTGCCTTCTCTGCTTCTCCGCTAACAGCATACGAAGAGTTCGTAAATCGCCGTCTTAAAGAGAATGAGTCGTAAGCGAAGAGTAGATAAGGTGCGCATTTATTCTTGGATTACCTGACGAAGCAAGAAAACAGCTGCAAACTGCATGCTCAATATCAACAATGTCGCTGTGCCAGATTGCTGAAAAATCCAGAAGTTTGGTAATTTTACGTCGCAAAGAATCGTGTTTTGTCAGTTGCGTGAATCCGGTTGCCGTTAGTTCAAGACAGGTTCCTAAAGGACGCGGAAAAAAGACCATAACGTGCTACCGTTGCGGTAAGGATGAACATATCAGTCAAAATTGCAGCAAAGAGATTGAGAAGAAGAGGTGCTTTGTGTGTGGAATGGACAATCACCTGGCCCAGTACTGCTATAAAAGGTGTACGAACTTAAAAAACGTGGAAGGGAAGCCACCCATTTTTGTGCAAGCGGCTTCCCACAAAATTTTAAGCCGCCAACTCTCCGCGCATATGTCAATGGAAGAAAAATAAAAGCATTGTTAGATACTGGATGCTCCAAATCAATTTTAAGTCGGGATATTTTAAACCCAAAAAACGTCAAACATGCAAGCAAAAAGGTTGTTATGATGAATGGAAAGTCAATTGAAGTACAATACCAGACTGTTGTTAATCTTTCTATAAATGATACCACCATCGAGTTGGAATGCCTGGTTGCTAACATTGTTCCCAAATATCAAATGCTACTTGGTATGGACGCAATACGACTGCTTGGAGGTGTCCAAGTTGGGAGAGACGGCGAAACCATAAACTTTAATGTGGAGCAACTAACTATCGGCGCTACTGCAGTCTCTCAAGGAAAAACGAATGAAGTATCCACGCCTACTGTTCAAAAGCTAATTGATAAAAACTTCGTAGCAGAATTCAAAAATGGCAGCTGGAGCATGTCTTGGAAATGGCTGATGGAACCACCAACTTTAACAAACAAAATTTCAAACTATCACATCTCTGAAGACGTTAAAAGTGAGTACGCAATGGAAATAAGTGAATGGATAGCACAAGGATGGCTGAAACCGTTTGAAGGGAAATGTAATGGAATCATTCCGTTGATGGCAGTAATTCAACAAAACAAATTAAAAGTACGTCCGGTGATGGACTACCGGGAGCTGAATCAATTTGTATCCAGTCATACTGCAGATGGCGATGTTTGCAGTACCAAACTTCGCAACTGGAGAAAGTTGGGAGAAAATCTTGAGATAATCGATTTAAAAGAAGCGTACCTGCAGATTCGTGTTGACGAAGCATTATGGAAATATCAAGTTGTGGAATATGAAGGGGAGCGATACTGTCTAACAAGATTGGGTTTTGGTTTAAATGTGGCGCCCAGAATAATGACAAAAATTTAAAAAAAAGTTATTATCCTTAGACATAGTTGTCGAGTCTGGGACGGATTCATTTACTGATGACACCATGATCAATAATAACATAGTGTCAAGTTGTAGAGTTCAAGAACTCTTGAAAAAATATGGCTTGGATTCTAAGCTGCCAGAAAAACTTGTTGGTGGGCGTGTGCTTGGATTGCGAGTGTACAAACAAAACAACCAAGTGCCATGTAAACATGACAACATACTCTCTAGTCTGTTGAACGTCATTATTGCACAATCAAGCGCATGGCAGCAAGAAGTGGCAAAGATCCGTTAAAAATGGTATATTGGTATAACGTAGCTCCCAGAAAAAATG